GTAAAGCACTTTGAGTTGAATGTCCAGAATAGCTCTATATACGTGTAAGGATATTATTATTATAGTTGCACCGATAACTGGTTCCTTGTTAAAGTAAGGGCAGGTGGCTGTACAAGGAAAATGAAGTGAGAATTGTTACTCCAGCACAGTTGAGTCTTGTCGGGCTTTTTGTTGGATTGTAATGTCAGTCAACAGCACCTTGTTGTACACTTGATCCTTGCTGTGCTCAATCCACTAAAAAGCTGAGTGTGCAAAATCAGAGGCGCATTGCGACCAGCAGGTGTCGCTGCTACACAGCAAACAGTCGACACCTTGGCAGGCCTCGAGCCCTCGAACCCCAGCAGCCCTGGGGAAGGTGACTGAGAAGCTCACAGTGAAAATCTCCAGATTGGGCAGAGCAGCACCCACTGGGGCCAGTGGGAGTAGCAGGGAGGGGCGGTTCAGGGTGGACGAGTGGTGTGTGGGGCAAGTATACTAAGAATGCCACAGGATTTTAATCGAAGATTTCCAGAATTGTTTTCAGTCCCATTTAAAAAAAGCCTTCATCATCTCCTTGTCACATTCAAGAGAATTTGGTAAAATCTCGAGGGAAAGATGTGCTGTGCTCTCAACACCGCGCTAAGCATAGATCACATCCTACTCGCGATCACAGTGGGGCATGGAGCCGGGATGTGAGCCAGCAATTGCCAGTTTATAATGGCTGTTTCCAGGCGAAGAGCTCTGGTGATCAGGGCAGTTTGTACTTAAGATTGACCAGCAAACCAATGATCATTGAAACGGCTGTTTTGGGCGCTTGGCCTCCCTTGCCATAAAAATGGGGCTTCTGGTGTGTTTTTTACAGAGAAAGGCAGCTGGAATGGAAAATTGTTCTCAACCCGTGTAAAAGAGCAGAGGGCTTGTTTTCATTCTGAATCATTTGCTTTTCATTCCTTATTTGGTTCTGCAGCACCAAGACACTGGCAGCTGGCAGGAATCCACACTCTCCTTCTCCCTCACATCCATTTTAGCTGAAGAGTAGATTCCACAGCTAGATCTTAACCCCACTGATACCTCATTATGATGAAGATGTCTTTGTCAGCCAGTTTATCTGCTGAATATTTCCACTTGTATTTCAGTTTATCCTGGACAGAGCAGTTCATATGTGTTGCTTTTTTGTCTGTGGAACACTGCAGTTGTTTTTTAGTGGAGACAGAATTATTACTTATTACTCTATATTTAGTGATTATATAGACTGAGTTTTGGCAAATTGAACACATTTGTGCAGGAACAAGAATGAAAGGTAGTAGTGAACAAAATCAATAAACAGTTGCTGCTTGTTCAGAATAAGTGTATTGGATGCTGAGGTTAAGAAGTAATTGGGTGTGTACAGTTTCAGGATATGGAATAATCCAGCTTTCAGTGGGGGGCAGTAGTTTTCAATAGAATAGTCTTTACAATAATGAGAGTTACTGTAAGTAACTATAAACTCCATAAAGATGATATAGCAACTTGCCACGCTATGACAGAGGCTGCCCAGAAGTGTAGATGCTTGTTTAAGGACAAAGAAAGACTACTTGATAAGTTCCTTTATCAGATCTACAGTTCCTAAGAAATACTGATGAAAAGTAGTGTTTACTTGTGTGGATGAAGTTAGATTTTGAAAGTTTTTTAATTAAACTCAAGGCTGGTTTCTCAATGAACTTCTTATTGCATTCAATGAAAATACAAAATGTACACTCTTCTCATGTGAAGTGGCCTTTTAATATGGTGAATATGCTTATTAACTCAAAGTAAGGCGATTATTGTTTTAAGTCATGTATACCTGATGGTCATGTCTTGGAACTCTTAACAGGAATTCCAGCCCTGAACATGGGATTCAATAACACGATCTTGCAGCTGGTGTTGGCTTGCATGCTGTGCATGTCTGGTTTATGTTGAGGAAAAATACTTGAAATAAACTTTGGAAAAATAGCACAAGTGATTTTCCTAACAAGACTGCTTTAAAAAATAGCCCTTAGGTTTTTAATCTGCCAGCACTTCTGCTTATGTCTTATTGGCAGAATGAGAAAACGCACGTTCTGCATCTTCATGTGGGCTATAAAATGGATTTTAATTTATAAACACAAGACTGGGCCCTGCAGCTTGCAACCTGCACTGTATGTGTACTGGTGTAATGGGTAATCTCTCCATCATTTGCTTAAAATCCAATCATTGCCTCGTGATGTCGGTAGTCTAGTAGGCAACAACCCTTCTTCCATACTGGAAATTCCACATCAGTGCCTGAATAATGATGGCACAAACTGTGCAATATGAAGAAATTCTACCATGAAGCAGAGATCCCACGGAAAGGTCTGAAAAGGTAGCTGTGTTGACCCCTAGCTGTATTCCGTGCAGTCAGTCTAATCCGCAGCTTAGTGTAGTTACAGTAGCAAAGCAAACCCTCTCTTCATCTGAGCTGAGCTTTTGGGACAAAGTGTCTCTCGGGTAGGGCTTGAGTCTCCTCCTGTCTGCAAACTGCTCTGTAGGTGACTACTCGTACCAGTAGCAGTAGCATTCAAGTTAATGGAGAGGGACCCTTTGTGTGTTTTAAAGCTCTTTATAAAGGCTTTAGAAATATCCTTTGCATATATGGTAAAACAACCATTATTAATAGAAAGTGCAATTATTATAGTCATTATTCCCTTTTCAAAAGCCGCAGAAATAGGCCGAAAAAAGACTTCCAGTTCTGGGACTAAAATATGCCCGTCTCTTGTCTGTTTCCCCAGGGTGGAGTTCCAGAACAAGTTCTACACGGGCCTAGGCTTCAAGTTCGTTCCGTTCTCCTTCGACAGCATCCTGGAGGGAAGGTTCGACGACTAGACGCCCCCCCCCGACCCTCTCCGCTGCTGTGTCTTGCTCGTGAGCCTTCTGGTAGTTGCTGCTTTGTCCGAAATCCCGTGTCGCTGTGCCGTACGACAGAAACGCCATCGCCTGCCTGTGCGCTGAACCGCAGACAGCCGAATGTGTCGTGACCTTGTTTTGCTTTGTTTTGTTTTTTTTTATCTGAGTAACTTATTGAGTCCTTCTCTTGTAACACTAGTAGTCATGTACAGGAACAGAAAAGGGTGTGCAGGGCTTCTTCATGGGATGAGCGTTCTTTATATCGAGTTGCATTGCAGCACGAACACGATCTGAACACAATGAAGGAACAGCGCTTCGGGGTGTGTTTTATTTACGGGGTCAAAAAGCAAATTAATGTAGGTGTTTCCAAGGCCTCTAAAGATCTAGTTGCCACATATGGGACTGAAATTTCTGTCCAGCTACTGTATAAACAAATAAAAGGGGCTAAACTCATGAATTGTTGCTGCACAGATCAGACTCTTTACGGACATTTGACTAGAATTACAAAATGAAGCATTTTTCATGAATTGAGCTCAGTGTTGACTGTGGGAACCTTTTAACGAATGTCAAAACAGATAAAAAACAGACTTAGAATTCTGCGCACATTAAATTTCCATGGCAACAAAATGCTTACTCCTGCTGTTTATGAAATTCAACTAAAGGAAAATGGATTCCAAAGTGTATTATACTTGTACGTAGTACGATGGGCGTATTTAAACCCCAGGGCACACTGATTTGCCTCTATATCTTTTTAGGAGGAAATATTCCATATTAATTGTATTAATTTCCCACAGAAGACACCAGCTTTACTAAATTGGCACTGTTCCTCACAGCCTACTGGTTAATGTGGTCCAGATCAAGTGCTTCTCTTCCATGTCCAGAATGGACACTGGGGCTGGAGTTTTAATCAAATCTTCAGGCAGCTGCGTTCCAAATCTCAAATTTCAGTGGTTGAAAGAGAATACCTACTTCTGTGCACCTCTGTAGAGAGACACGCAGTGAACCGTTTCCTTCATGTGCTCTGGACAGCATTACATCTGAGAGCCTGTCCACGTGTTTTATATCGTCCCTCCTCCGAGAGGTCCATGTGTTTCTGACCGGGGCTGGTCCTACTGGCTTAGCGATGTTTAATAGCGTAAGTGAATTGGGTTAACATGCACACTGGTACTCATTTAGAACTGGATTATTGGCTTAAAGAGAAGTAACTGAAAAGGCCATTTCAGATGAACTGGATTGTAAAAGGCGATTGTAGAAAAATGTATAGTTTCTAGTGTTTGCTGTTAAGCGAGAAATGAATTTTTGGAAAAGCCATCAAGCGGTCTTATTAAGGGTACTTTGAAAGAAAATGGAGACGACCCCTCCCTCCAACATGCCTATAACAATATGATCCACTGCCAAGTTCAGTTCACGCAGTCTGCAGGCTGCCACATTGTGCTGGGAAACAGGCTGCCAACTTTTAGAGAAAAAAAAATCAATATATTAGTATATCAGTAGTAGTCTGTTTTTAAAATTGGCTGTGAAAATCAACTTTAGAAGGTAAACGTGTCTAAATACAGCCCTAAACTCTGGTTTAATGTCATGGTCACCTTCAGTTTTGCAGGCAGGAGCTTGACTTGGCTGCCCTTTTCAACAATACTTATCAAGCCCTGCTTTGCTAAGTGAATTAGGCCGTGGAACTCCCATAGTTTCTCATTTTCCGATGCTTATTAATTAAATAAGGAGGTAATTATCATATCGGTAAGACTGACGTCTCAGTGCCTAGACCAGTGGCTCTCACACACCTGCTGTTTTCTGTAGCAGCTCAGCCCTCAGTGATACCATCACACCTTTCACTTCAGTTGACTAAATAATAAGATGAATTTGAACTGCTCATTCCCAGCTCTTAACTATGCTGGACATAAAATCCCAAACCTGTGACTAGAAACAAAAACACAAACAGTTCTTTTAAGCGTCTTCGTAGGTCACGTGAGGCTTCAGGTATCTAATGAAGGTGGGCTGGAATGAAAACCAGCAGGTGTGTGGGGCACTAGGACCAAGACTGGGAACCAGTGGCCTAAGACCATTCTCCGTCAGCATAGAGGGTCACCACCACCAACAAGGCAGTTTTGGAGACTTACAGGGACAAAAGGTGCTGAACGCTGTTGAAAACAAGCTCGTGTTGACACGGGAGGGTAACAGCCATGCAGCAGACTGCACGGAGTTGTAATCTGAGCTACTGTTTTTTTTTTTTCCTGAAAGGTTGCGTTTGAAACTGAATTGGCCCACAGGTTAGGCCTGCCCCAGTGGCATTCTTCTGGAAATAATGCAGTTCAAGCGACACCTCCTGTTTTCTTGGTCATGGGTTGCGGTGGGGGACGACGACGAGCTGAATAGAAATGAAGCATATCAATCAATCAATCTCTGCCGAGAATTGTATCGGGGGAGCCTGCCTGGTCCTGGGTCTGGCTCTGTGTAGTGCAGCCCCTGTGCTCTTGGATAATCCTGTGCAAGTGATTGTGTTTACAGTGCGCGGACGTCTTTGCGTGTGTTTACAGTGTACAGTGGGTCTCTTTGTTTTAGCCGAACATTGTGGGAGCTATGATGTGGACTCTGATGTGAGATTTGTTTCCGTAATTGTACATTGTGATGTGATTGTGTATATTAACATGATTAAAGAGGAAGCAGCTGGGGAAAAGAAATTAAGCTGCCCTTCGTTTTTCTTGGGGTTAAACTGCGTTGTGAGTTGAAACACCTCACTTAACCAGACATAATCAGCTTGGTTATTACTCATTTAAGTGCCCACCCACATTGAAATTGGCAAAGCAGGTCTGTACCCACTTGAGAGAACAATAATATACAAGAACACAGAACCTTTAATCTGTTGAGGTGGCTGACGTGTTTATAAATATGCTTGTGTGAGACTAGTTGTGCTCCTACCACACTAGAGCAGCCTGCACACCTTGGATAGCGATCTAATTATTTTTATTCCCCAGCTTACCAGGAACTTCATCCAGCATGTTAATTGTTCTGTTCCCAGGCCCTTGAACAGGGCCGGCGCCAGGGGAAAAATCTGTAGGGGGTTGTCTGAAATTCTGCGGGGGGCGGTGATATTTTGGTTGAAACAG